TCTCTCACAGGACCCCAGGCTATCGCTAAGGCCACAGGGGCCACAATGTCACGCAGCCCTCGGCCCTCTGCGACAGTGGTCCACTTTAAGGTGTCAGCCCAGGGCATTACACTGACGGACAGTCAGCGCAGGTACACCCACTCGTCTCTCTTTATAAGTATAACCATATCATTTTTCAGTTTTCAATGAACATGTGGAAATGTGAGGACAGACTGTCACACTGAGTTTGACTATGAGAGGTCGGGGTTTTCAGGGTGTTTTTCAGGAGACATTATCCAATCAACAGCGTGACTTTCAGCAGTATGGACCCACAAGACAGGAGGTGAGATTGCGGTGGCAAAAATGCGAACTGGCGTACAAGTGTGGTTTATATATCTACTCTACGTTTTCTCAAACGTGGTTATTTGTTATTACATTATTTTATATTAAAGTGTGTTGTACAACAGTATGCAAAGTTTGCAGTGCATTCCACATCCTATGCAATTACAATTAATTACCATTAATTAAACCGTTAATGCAAATACACAAAGGAAAATGTGGATATAGGAGGATTTTGTTTTTGTTTCTTTATTTTGTTTTTTTCGTTTAAATGTATTTATTTTTGTTGTTGTGTAATGTTTTTTTGTTTGGTTGGTTGGTTTATTTTGTTCTTTGCTTTGTTTTACTTTTTTCTTTTGTTGTTGATATATATATTTTTCTACATTTTATTAATATTTTTTGTTTGATGTTTTGTTTTGCTTTGCTCTTTTGTTTTGTTTTGTTTTTCTTTGTTTTGTCCTTGTTTTCTTTTATTTTAGTATTACATTTTGTATTTTTTTCTATTGTGTTGCTGTTTTTTTCTTTTCTTTTCTTTTCTTTTAACAGTTGCCTGCCTAGAACTAGTAGTAGCTCTAAATTTTAATCAGATAGTGCATGATTTTGTGTGGGCTGCTCTGTCTGTGTGTGCAGTATGTGCATACATGTTTTTTTTGTTTTTTTACTCATTTATGTGTGTATATTTCCAGTTTTATGTAAAACAAGCTTTGGGGCTTTGAAATGCAAACCCACCCTGTGCAGACAAAACACTTTTCTTTTCTTAAACCATCACTTTGAACCCTGTAAATTGTTTGGGCTCTGTGATTTTTATTTTGTTAACGCTCTTTCATGGCACACAGCTACCAGTCTTGCATCTAAAGAATTTGAGGCAATAACATTAAACCAGATGTTACAGGAAAGAGCATTTTTAATTTGCATGAGCCCCAAAAAATGTAGGTGCCTATGAGCAAACTTAAAGGAATAGTTCACCCAAAAATGAAAATTTACTGATAATGTACTCACCCTCAGGCCAAACAATATGTAGATGAGTTTGTTTCTTCATGGGAATAGATTTTTTTTTTTTTAATTTTGCATGACTTCTTTTGGTCCTCTGCAGTTAATGGGTGCCGTCAGAATGAGAATCCAAACAGCTGATAAAAACATCACAATAATCCACATGACTCCAGTCTATCATTGTGAAGAGAAAAATGATAAGAAACAAACCCAAGACGTTTTTAACTTTAAACCATCACTTCTGACCAAAATATGAGTTCATAATCCAAAATAACCCTTCCTCCAGTGAAAATGTTTCATCAAAATCCACTGACACATTTGTGCATGTTTCTCTCTTGATTCAGAAGACAACTTTTTCACTGGCCAAAGCAATATTATAGATAGAGTACTCATATTTTAGCCAGAAGCAATGGTTTGAAGATGTTTTGTTTTAATTATTGATGTATTACAGAAACTTGTCATTTTTTGGTGAACTATTCCTTTAAAAACAGCTTCTCAGTTACAATTTACAAAGACCTCCAAAATGAAGCCTCAAAGCATTGTGTGTTACATCCAAAGCATACTCTACACAAGTAAATGAAATCAAATAATTCTAGCTACATGAGCTCGATTTCACACTGCAATAGGAAATGTATCAGAATGGAATTCACATGCAGCACAAATATATTACAACCACAAGATTACACTAAATATGCACAGTACTTGTGTAGAGTATGTGTTTGTCCTCAGATTGAGAGCATGCTCATGTGTGTCTGCAGTGTCCCGTGTGTGAGAGTGTTGTGTGTGTGTGTGTGTATATGTGTGTGTGTGTGAGTCTGTTCCTCAGTCTTGTCTCTGTCTCCCTCTTGCTGCCGTAGGTGGACTAACTCAGACAGCACGACCTCTAAGTAAGTCTAAATGATATGCATGTCGTCTGGACTGTTCAGACAGCTTGTTTCCTCTATGTTGCTCCTGATAGGAAACTGATTATGTGCTTATGTGCATGTTAATTTACTCTTATATTACCATAGTACCAATCATCCTGTCTGTCCATTCACTCTTCATTTGGATTGCAAGACTGATATTTTATCCCCAGTCGCTCATTCGCGTATCTCTCTGTCTCCTCTCAGAGTATTTGGTTTTGTTGCCAAGAAGCCCGGCAGTGTGGCGGAGAATGTGTGCCATCTTTTTGCAGAGCTGGATCCCGAACAGCCCGCGACTGCCATCGTCAACTTCATTAACAAAGTAATGCTGGCACCACAGAGACGCTAGGGCCCCGGGGACGAGGAGGATGGTTTATCTTCACGTACACTGCCGCACACCACGAGACTGTAATGTTGCACCTTCTGTCAAGTTTAAGACTTTTCGGCAAAGACAAGGGCTTTACTGTTGACTAACATGATGCCAAAACACATTAAAACCAAAATATACTACAGAATGTAACCAAAATAAAGCCAGCCGTCTGCTGTGGTTTTGCCTTTATAGAGCTGTTTTGGTGTTCATGGGATTGTAAATGACTTTATGAAATACAATCACTAAGATTGTTAAACAACCCTGGCAGCAGGGGCTTTCAAAAATATAAAGCACTGTTATTGACTCATGAATAAAATAAATCTGTTATATGCACTCAAACTTCTGAATTGCACAGATAGCAGTCTCCGCAGTATGACAATCATCAGTTTAGAAATATTGATGTCAACTTGGTTTTTGAGTTTTGACACACTAAATTATGGTTGAAAATGTTTATTTTATTCAGAAGCCAAATTTCAGTGTGTTTTTGTCCTTTTAACTGGAAAGGAGGTGCCACGGTTTCTATTGGAAACTTATTTCAGCCACAATTGAATTTTTTTTTTATAAATGAGTAAAGGTAATTGCGACTTATCTCACAATTCTAACCTTTTTCTTGAAATTTTAAGTTTATATCTCACAATTCTGAGTTTCTATCTTGTAATTCTGACTTTTTTCTCGTAATTCTGTTTATATCTCAATTCTGAGTTTCTATCTTGTAATTCTGACTTTTTTCTCGTAATTCTGTTTATATAAATTCTGAGTTTCTATCTTGTAATTCTGACTTTTTTTTGTAATTGTTTATATCTAAATTCTGAGTTTCTATCTTGTAATTCTGACTTTTTTTTGTAATTGTTTATATCTAAATTCCGAGTTTCTATCTTGTAATTCTGACTTTTCCCCTTGTAATTCTGTTTATATCTACATTCTGAGTTTCTATCTTGTAATTCTGAGTTTCTATCTTGTAATTCTGTTTATATCTCAATTCTGAGTTTCTATCTTGTAATTCTGACTTTTTTCTTGTAATTCTGTTTCTATCTAAATTCTGAGTTTTTATCTTGTAATTCTGACTTTTTTCTAACTTTAAACTTAACACATATATAAATACATATTTCATGCACTATACATACACACACATGCGCATATATATAAATAAATATATATATATATATATATATATCTATCTAGAAAGAAAGATGTATACTCTATATAAAAGATATTTATTATAATTTATCATTTCGAAAGAAATCCATCCATCACTTTTTTTATATTTGTAAAGTAATATTATTTCAGCAGCATCGAGATACTATTTTAGTGTTTATTAATATTTTGAATCAGATTTTATTTTTATATTTTCCGCTTTCATTTTACATGGAACGTTTTAGTGATTTTGCGTTTTTAGTATTTTTTATTTTTTCTCTTAAGTATCTTTATAGTTCTTATAAATTTTTTTATTTCAGTTTTAGTTATTTAAATACAGCAAATTTAAATTAAAATGAGAAATGTTGCCTTTGAAACCAGCTGGTTTTAGAAAGGTTTTATTTCAGTTAATATTTAAATAATGAAAATGTTTATTGTATGGTTTTAATTTTAGCTAACTATAATAACCCTGTTGTTATTATATTTTTAGTTATTTAAATACAGCAAATTTAAATTAAAATGAGAAATGTTGCCTTTGAAACCAGCTGGTTTTAGAAAGGTTTTATTTCAGTTAATATTTAAATAATGAAAATGTTTATTGTATGGTTTTAATTTTAGCTAACTAGAATAACCCTGTTGGGGAAGAACAGTTATTTAAATTTTTTTATTTTGAAGTAAAAAGTTAAAAAGAAACCTTTAGGATAAGATGATGCCCCACAATAATGGAGTTGTTATTCAATATTTCCTATAAATTAGACTAGCATTTCAGACATTTAAAAACATACAGGCTAACAGGGTGAAAATATTTTGCATTCATAGTGTTGCCATTATGACATATCTTCAGTTAAAATATGGGCAAATTAAGTATATATTAATTTGCCTGTATGTAAGTCATAGAATAAATTTACCTTTCAGATAAATCTTTTTTTACTGGGATTCTACTTTGTCACTGGTCATTTAATTATTCAAATAAATTGGCAAAACAATTTTAAATATTTGATTTAGTATTCTACATTAACGACACTTTATATATAAAAATTATATTTATTAATAAGAATAATTTTTAATTTTTTTTGTCCTATGACAACTATTTATTTCCCCTAACAACACACAGGCTGATGCATCATCATCATCCTGCACATTCTAAAAGTAAATGCACTTTGACCTTAAGGGGGCATCTTCCCCCATCTTACTAACGCTACTCAAAATAACTTCAATGCCTTTTTTAATCTTTGAATACAGCAGTTAGTGGCTGATAGATGTTCTCAGGGTTTATGTGAGTGACGTCGGACAGGCAGGAGAGTGGACTCACAGTGTGGGCACAGGAGAGAGCTCCAGACTGGAGTCGCTGTGGGAGCCCTCGTCATGATCGTGAGAACTCATGTCCTCATGCAGTGCGCTGGCCAGAGCCTTCAGACTCGATGCTCCCATGGACGCTGAGCCATATAGGGACAGACTGCTGTCCACCATCGCTGCCTGAGGAGAAACAATGTTTTAAAACCAAGGGAAATAACACTGACATTACAAACAAGTTAAATACACTACCATTCCAAAGTATGGATGTAGTATGGATGCATTAAATTGATCAAAAGTGTGACAGTAAAGATATTAGAATGATTTCTGAAGGATCATGTGACACTGAAGACTGGAGTAATGATGCTGGAAATTCAGCTTTGCATCACAGGAATAAATTACATTTTATAATATATTAAGAATCTTACCAACCTCAAACTATTAAAACGGTAGCTTGTGCATTAATGACTCCATACCTGCAGAGAAGACAGGGCGGGATTCTGACCCAGACTGGACTGGATGTTCTTCACCAGAGGTGATCTGAAAAAACAGACATCAGTGTCATCAGCAACAATGACCTCAGAGGAATCTGTGCAAATGAAATCTTTGCAATTACCCAGTGATCTTTTGTGGCCTTCTTTTGTGAAACTCCAGCTCGTCCACAGTCCAAACGGCCCCCTTCACATTCTCGACTCGTACGAAACACTTGTGAAGACTGAGGTTGTGGCGAACTGCATTCTGAGATCACAGAATAAATTAACAAACTGATCCAAGGCACAGGAAACCGTTCAAGACTGTATCTTTTCAGTTACCTTCCACGTTGCAGCATTGCGTCTGAAATACGCGAATGTTCGAGTGAACCAGTTGTAGATTTCATTTAGTGTTAGCTGCTTTTCTGGAGACTCCAAAATGGCCTATAAATTAAAAAGGGGAGCATGTATCTCATATGGCAGTTGATGAAAGATACAAACAAACGTCTAACTAAACTTCATCTCCAGTTTGTTCAGAAATCCTGCTTGATGGCCGTCTTAGCAGATATGATGGTGCAGACCTCGATGATGGTTTCTTACCTGCCTGATCAAAGCTGCGTATGTAAATGGAGGCCTGACCTCAGCACTCAGGTAAAATTCCTTATTCTGCACAATATCTATGAGACACAGGAGAAATGTGCTGTCCGTTACACTTCATTTATCAAAGCAATTCTGTCTTTTTTTTTTTGAAAATAGGGTTTTCCATGTATGCGGACGTAATTCTCACAGAAAGAAAGAACGAAAGAAAGAAAGAAAGGCTTGTGCAATAGTTTATCATTTTTACAGGTTGGAAACATCTGAACAAATTAAAAACAATAGTAATAATGTGTTACAAAACATTATAAAAAGAAAATAAAACAAGAAAAAAATTAGACGTTTCAACTGTAGTTCAGATTTTCCATGCCATAATATTTTCACTGGCCCCGAGTTAAAATATGGCAATTTTTAGCAGTTTATCCTTAAATTAAGCATCAGAAGTGAAATAGATTTTTATGAAACAGTTTTTGCTGCAAGTTTCTAAACTTTAAAGTTTGTAGTAAGTAGCAACTTTCTAAGTAGTAACTTTAAGCTTAACACATACATAAATACATATTCCATGCATTTTATAGACAGACACAGACCGTAGATAGATAGATAGATAGATAGATAGATAGATAGATAGATTAAAAAATCTATTTACAAAGAAATAATCAATGCAAGAATGTTTAAATAAATTCTTCCAAAAAGAGTAAAAACTCAATATTTGAAATTAATTTGCTCTGTATCCAAAAAATAAAAAGATTACATGCGGAGATGCTAGCAATCTTCTTTTTATTATTACAAATATTATTACTACATTATTACTTTATTACTACAACAAATGTTACAGTCATGCAGGACCTATCCTTTTCTGCATACACCGCAAATACTTTTTTGTATTGAACTTTTACTCTTTTTGGGGAAAACTATTTTATGACTTGAAATCATGTTACATGTGGACTGAAGAAAGAGCAGGATCCTCCTTTTCTGAAAGTTGAAATAACCCTACAGGGCAGGTGACGGTTCCACTGGCCCACATTTCTCTCACACTGATTTAGGGTCATTCTTATTGTAGAGCCTGGATAACTGCACTACACTGACTGTGGGTCAGAAGTCTCACCTTGGTCCATGGCTATGTTGTATTTGTCAGAGTAGCGTTTGCGGATGGGTCCCATGCTGTGCAGGCTGGTGGGTATGATGACTGAGGGCATTTGGGGGAGTGACGTGAAGGGTGTAGACGGGGCTGTGGCACTTTGGGAAAGACTCAAAGAGGGAAAGGTTTTGGGAACGGTTGCCTTGGCAAGCGTGAGGTTGGACACCAGATTCACCTAACAACAAAAAAAAAGTGTAATATTTCACCAGCAATCTTAAGTGTATCTTCAGAACTACACAAATGTGTTTAATCAAACAGAGTAAATGGCAAATAAAGTGACGTACTGGCTGGGGGGCAGGTCTGGGCTCAGTAGACTTGACATGGAGGTGGGCCATCATGGCCTGAAGGCGTTCTTTGTCTTTGGCAAGCTGTTTGACAAACACAAACACAACGGAGATGTACCACTGATAAACCTGGAGTTTTCTGTTGTCTAGCATTCACATGATTTTTCTTTATGTGTACATACAGAACAGGAAAAAGATTAGAGCTCAGATTAGAGCAGGATGTTCAACTACATGCAAAGCAGAAAACAAACATTTCTTCAGTCTAATCAGAATTAAATACACCATATCAAAAACCAGTTCCGTTTGGAGCAAAAGCAATTGTGTTGAGTGTTTGTAAAGCCTTACCTGCAGTTCCAGCTGCTGAACCACCTGCATCTGAACTCTGCACTGCGCTGTGCTCTTGTCATCCAGAGCATGTTCACTGTTCAAATGCCTGAAAAACACAACACGCATATGCAGACGTTCAGTATAAGGACTGTCATTAAAACACATCTTTCATTTTTTCTTTTTCTCTTGCACTCTGAATCACCACTGCGTATGAAATGTGCTACATAAATAAACGTGCCTTGTCCTGCCCAAAGTTGACTAAGAATATAAGTCTAGTTTAATTTGCCAACACAAATTTTAATAAGGAGAATACTACAATATTATAGTTATATAGTTTGATTCAAGCAAATCATTTGAACTGTTTGATGAACGCAAAAAAAAAAAAAAAGGAAAGAAAAAGTGATTTGGGTGTTGGTAAGAAGTTTTTGAAAATCCCTTATTTTCACCAAAGCTGCATTTACCAAAAATCCAGTAAAACATGAAATATTGTGAAATATTATTACAATTTTAATACACTTTAAAGGGGTCATATGATGCTGCTAAAAAGAACAGTAAAAACAAAACTACAGCGAGAATAAAAGTTGCGCTTTCTTTCTTTGCGTGAACGTTTGGGCGGCGTTATGCAAATCTTCCCACAGAGCGACGTAGGTATGTTGGAGCGTGTTAGAACGAGCCGTTTTAGGTAGGTGTGGCTGACTTTTAACTTTTATAAAGAATATCTCTTTGAATTTGAGACTTTAGTCTTTGCAACTTTACAGATCTTCTTTATGCACCAAGAGCTTGTAACACTCCAAAGAGAAAGGAAAAATTGAAATCGCATCATATGACCCCTTTAAAAAGCTGAATTTTCAGCATCATTACTCCATTGTCACATGATCCTTCAGAAATCATTCTGATATGCTGATTTGCTGCTCAAGAAATATTTATCAATGTTTAATTTTTTTTTATGTTGAAGGTTGCTACGATTATGATTTTAACATTACCTCAGCTTTTTACTCCCTGTTTGTTCATCATACATTACTAATCAAAATGAACTTTCAGGATGCAATACTACTATTGAGAAATAGAGGGTGCTGTATTCAAAGAAAATCTGCACAAAGCTTTCATCCAACCAACTTCCTCAAACAACTCCTCCTCCTCTAACAAAAAATATATAAACAAAAATGAATTTCTTAATCCCTCCAACCCAGACCTTGCTTTTTAGAACAATACAGTACTGAATTTACTATTGAATAAAGAGGGAGAATCTGATATTCTGAAAAAACTAAAGTAATGCAATTTTTGTGATTACAGCATCATCATATTTGTGAATGAAAAATGCTTATTACGAAGGCTAAGTGCCTCGTTCTCAGGTGTGGCACGTGAATCTCAGTGTGATGTGATAGTTTGGAACATGTTTTTAATAGTGCAACTGAGCTGAGGAACAAAGGCAGTGTTGTGGCAATAGACAGGGCGGGGCCTTGGACTGGGTGCAGGGGTCAGGGTCAGTGGAAGGGGCACAGATAAACATCCTCCTGTTGTTTGTTTTGGGAGGGATGGCCAGGATCACCATGGGTACTCTGTTTATCAGTGCACTGAGCTCAACCCTGAGGGGCCCCACGGCTGCAACGCCACAGGGGAGAGAGAGAGAGAAAGAAAGACGGAAAGAGAGAAGGAAACGGAAAGAAAATAAAGAGACATGGGCGGAATATACATATATACAAGTAAATGGAGGTTTGGGACAGTGGAAGGAGTGAATAAGGACAAAAAAAACAAGTGAACAGGGTAAAAGGGAAAGCAGCACATAAAATGAGCTGTAAAAAAGGCAGCAAGCACACTCAGAAATGATAATTAGATTACAGCTCCAAACAGGACAAACAGCATAATAAAACGCAGAGGATGAGAGCTGTTGACTCACTTGAGGAATGACTGGAAGTCTCCGAACACAGCATCGCAGCCTGGCCACTTGCATACGCCGTGGCTGTATAAAGGATGGGCGCTCTGGGAATGACTCTCCTGAGAACTGAAGCAAAAACACAATAAATGAAGAATCTGAAGTGTGCTTGGGTTCCTGTCATGTACTTTTTAAAGGTTAATAGTACAGGATTGCACTGGACAATGCCCCTGCACGACAGTACTATGTTGTGACACTGTGCAAATATTGGCGCTTTTCCACTGCATGGTACGACTCAGCTCGGCACGACGCTTCCATTGCAGTTTAGTACTGCTTTAAGTGGGCAGGATTATACACGTTGCTTTTTCATTCTGCGTCGCCCCATCAAGCTCTCTCTGGATCCGCTCCTCGGCTATCAATGAGAGGAACGTCTGTACTTCCTCGACAGACCACGAAACCATTTTTTGTTTGTTTAAAAAAAGGTGCGCTCGTTCAAAACAGTTGCGTTCATTCAAAAAAACAAAACAATTGTGTCCGATCCTACGCTGGCTGTGCTGATTTAAATCTAGCGGGTCTGGGGTCTCGTATCGCAAGTTCAATGACGCAGATAGTGACTATTCTCTCCAGCCAATCAGTGATCAGCAGGGTTTACACGTCACATTTTGGTAACGGTACGGCTTGCTTGGAACCTCAGCCGAGGTGGTACTGAAAAAAGTATCAGGTACTGTACCCAGTGGAAAACCCCCCAAAAGTGAGCCATACCGTGCCGTACCATGCAGTGGAAAAGCGCCATATGTGACCCATAGGGCTCTGCTCCTTTCATTTCAACCCAAATCACACTACTACACTTTAATTTGTTCTTAAAGGGAGAGAGAGAGAGAGAGAGAGATGCAGAGCAGGGCGATGCGAGGAACAGGATTGAGAACCTGCTGCTTTTGAACATTGATTTTGAAACTTGTGAATCCATTAGAAGACAGAATCCCGATTCATATATGAATAGATTTTTACGTGCACCTCTAGTTTTCTCTTCCTCTTCTGTAAAGCAGCACAACATGGCCTCGCCCCCTTTGTTGCGTGTTCCCGAGGGCGGGGTTTATCTGGGTTTGTGACGTAACGGACCTGGGAAGAAGCTCGTTGTAGTCCCTACCAGTCGTTTTTGTAGGCATTAAACTGCCAGAATTTTAAAAGACGATATCTCCGTTTGCATTGAACTTTCAGCGCTGCAACTTTGCAGATATTGTTTATGCTCCAACAGCAACATTACACACTAACTAATGTTAAAAAAAAGTGAAATCGCAATCAACCACCCCTTTAAGCAATCTCTCACATATTTGGGACATGCCAAGATGATGTCAAGAAGTTGTGCATCTCACAAAGCCTGTCTAGAACATTTGTCATCTTTCACCTCAAAATCAAAAGAATAAAATAATAATTTACACCATTAAAACCAATGTTAACAAAGAAATTTTCTTTTTGCATCAATCTTTCAATACAGCAATCAAGATTTTTAGGTATTTGCATTAATTAAATTTATATTACCTACAGTTACTTCAAAAGAAAGACGAAAATTAGAATAAATTCTGAAACCAGAGTTTCTCACTGTGGTCAGAGATGCTTCTAAGAGTAAGGTATGGAAAAAAAGATGAGGCAAACTGCAAGAAAGACTGCACCTGATACTGCAGATTCATGCTTTCCGCTGAGTGTCTTTCCATTCGACAGGCTTGTTTTCAATCAAAATATTTCGATATTGTGATGCATCTTGTGAGGCATGAATCACAGTGAGTGCAGTATCGTTAAAGAACTAGTCATGTGCAGCTCTACTTAACATTTTTTGCATTATGATTATTTTTTTTCAGAAGTATCATTATCAATGCAGCACAATTACTATAATGTGATAAAAAATAATGATAAATTAAATAACTTAGACATGGTAGTATTTGTTGTACAGCTGATTGTTTTGTAAATTTGAAGTATTTTTCACTACCTTTTTGGGGTCGGCAAGATTTAATGTTTTTGAAAGAAGCCTCTTATGCTCACCAAGGCTGCATTTATTTGATCAAAAACAGATAAAAAATGTCTAACTTATAAAACATGTAATTTATTCTTGTGACTCCAGTCTTAAGTGTCACAATCCTTTAAACATTCTAATATATTGATTTATTTTTACCAATGCTGAAAACAATTGTGCTGCTTAATATTTTTTGTGGAAACCTTGATACATTTTTTCCAGGATTCTCTGATGAACAGAAAGTTTCAAAGAACAGCATTTATTTGAAACAGAAATCGTTTGTAACATTACAAATATACAGTATTTACTGTCACTTCTGATCTGTCCTTGCAGAATAAAAGTATTTATTTCTGACCCTGAACTTTCGAACTGTAGTTTAAAATGTAACCCTGACAGCATTTTGTCAGATGTTTTCATAAAGCTCTATTCTTCGGCTCAGAACCAGCTGACAAACTAGCTGGACATGTTTAGGACTTTGTATCAAACAGTGGACTGTTTGAGAGAGTGATTTATTTTTGTATTTTAAAAAATGCCAAGAATGCTTTATTTGTTTGGGATCAAGCAAGGTTGTGTCCTTTGAACCATGACCTTCTCCTTTTCTCGCCTAAGAGAGCCCTGTATGTCTCTGCCAGCAGATTCCTTCCCTTACACCAAAACAAAGAGAAAGCGTCTACAGCGGGCATCTTTTCTATCTCAGTGCTTGAACACAACCCCAGCCTAGGCAGATGACTCACACTTGACAAATTAAAACAGACTTTGTTATTTCCATCCTTATAACACACTGAACAATCAAAGAAGCTAGCAAGCAGACAATAAAACAAATATGAGCAATGAACTGTTTGTTCTTGCAGATGGGGCTCTTAAGATCCCAGCTCAATGTCAAATGCTCACCTCTCAGGAATAAGCACTCAACGTTACAGTAGAATTAGGGGTGTAAGAAAATATCGATACATGTGAGTATCGCAATATATTTTTTGTCGATACTGTATTGATTCTCAAAAACGGAATATCGATATTTAAAAAAAAAAAAAAATCATACAAGATTTATGGCAGTTGTTTCGTTTTGAGTTCATATCCCGACTGCTAGATAGCAGTCCTCATCTCTGAACTTAAACAGTGACAGGAAATACTAGCATTAGGGCACGCCACTAATGTTAGCGTTAATATAGTTCGCTGTCGGTGTACAAAGCTGAAGTGTGGAGTCATTTGGGCTTTTGTAGTAACGTCCGCCCTGGGACCGCAGCGCAGGTGCCACCTCGGTTCCGCCGCGTCCCGCGTCAAGAGCCTTCGCGCAGGGCGGGGGGGGCGTTATGGTCGGCTGGGGGCGTTTTGTGCAGTTGGGGCAGTTCTCGCGTCGCGGTCTCGGCAATTCCACGCATTTCATGTATTTTCCATGTATTTATAAATACAAACTGAAAAACCTGTGAAATCCAAGTTGAAAGGTTCTGAGAATGTTTAACATCTGTATTTATTTTATTGTTTTACAATTGTTTTGTTTTCTTTAGAATCCTGCAACCACAATTTTTCATTGATATTAAACAGATGTAATTTTTTGTTCAGATCAGAATGTTATGACATTGTATGTTACAATTGTAAACTTAAACTGTGAACCTTTAAAGCAGGGTCTAAAAATATATATGGTCTTTTTTATAAAAATACATTTTATACATATTATACATTTAACTAAAGAATCCTGCAAGCACTTTAATTGTGTTCTGGTTAAATAATTTTTATTTATTTAGGCCTATTGATTTTTTGCTAAGGTTTGCATATGGTGGTGTGTTTTTAATGACTGCTTTCCTAAAAATATATCCTATTCCTAAAATAAGCAATATCCCAATATATCGCCTTGCTTAAAGTATCGCAACCCCTGTATCGTGATACGTATCGTATCGCCAGATTCTTGCCAGTACACAGTCCTAAGTAGTATAGATATCAAAATGGAGCATGGCAGATTTTAAAGGATTGATTACATTTCATCCCTCACTCCATCATCGGGAAAGTGTGTTTGCATGTCACTCAGTAAGCCAGAAGGAGAGACGGATAGACAATGCCCGCATGTTGTGGTCTTCTAGAAAGGGTGAAGGGTTTGTTCTCTGGTGCCAGCGGCTGCACTTAAGGTTTTAGTTGCAGGCGTCTCTCTGGCGGGTAGGAGTTTACATGACACATGAAACTGACCACACAGTCCTTGAGCTCTCACCCTCCACCAATATCATGAAAACAATCACAGGCGGGCCATAAGAGGGCTCTGCTGACAATACAGACCACATCAATGCAACGCTAGGACACAATGGCACCTACTGTAATCTGAGCATTTACTGTTAACAGGGTAGTGTGGTGTAGCGGTTAAGACTCAGGGCTGGGGATCCAGAAGGTTGCTGGTTCTTAACCCCAATTTCTCCACTTAACACACTTTTCAAGCTCAAGCATGTCCACATGCAGCAACATATTATATAGACAATGTTCACACAGTGAGTGTTTAAAGACTGACAACAGTCAAGTGCTTCTGACAAACAAGCTCCTGAAATATATAGACAAACAGGTTTAGACCTCGACAAACATGGAGATGGAGGTGTGTTCATGTGTATATGAAGAAAGGCCCACAGGGAATGCATTGCCACTGACTGTCACCTTTCACACAGCCACAAAGACAAATGGCTTTAAAGACACCTGACATTTGTCAACAGTATTCTTCTAATACAACATACTGTATTAGGAACCTCCAACAACCTGACTGGTTTGACTAGTCATCAAATATTAAATTTCAGTGATACAAATACTCTAAGAAAATTATAATCTTGTCATTTTAAGACCATTTTGTCACTAATTTAATATATAATAATTATTATATAGATTTTAATAAATTTTAAATGTAATTTATTCCTGTGATGTAAACCTGAATTTTCAGCAGCAATTTTCATGCTTCAGAAATCATTCTAATATGCTGATTTGTTGCTCAGGAAACATTTCTTATTATCAATGTTGAAAACAATGTTTGATAAATTATTGAACAAAGTTTAAAAGAAGAGCATTATTTGAAACAAATGTCTGCTGTTTTTAAAAAAAAATTAATTTAAAAGTAATAATTTCTTCCAAACAACAACAACAACAACAAATATTTTACTGGTTTAAATTATTTCTGAATGGTTAAGGTAATATTTTGGCTGTACCTTGAGGTCTTATTGGTTGGTATGCTCTAAAACTATGGCTTTGAATGTCTGCAGTGATGCCTAGATTCACTTTGATAATGAAAATACAGTTAGTGTAAAATGCGCAGTGTCAATCTGTAAGTAATAAAGAGAACACTACTGAAACAGAATGTGGTAAATTCTTTGTGCTTTACTTGCTGGTGTTTCAGCATGTTGTTACAGGAAGAGTGCATTAACAACTAGAGTTACACATTCTGACTAGCACGGCCAAGTTAACTTGTGCATTTGAATATTTTTGTGCAGATGCATGAAGTAATATTTATGTTGTGCACATATCTGATTAATCTAATATAGGATATGTTTGGTGAGTAAATTAACCTGCTACCGAAGAGCTTCAGTTTCCTGTTGTTCATTCACTATTGATCGCTCAATTCTAACATTAGGAGCGAGTGAGCATCAAGTGCAAATATTAAGTATTAATACTTAACAGTATTTTTAAGAACAACACGCATGACTTCTGGATAAATCTAAATAAATGGCACATGCTTGAATGCAATAAAATAATGATGATGAAGTACCTGTCTCTCCGGCTAGGCCGGTGCACATGGTGTCCATTAGTGCTGGAGTGGTGGTTGAGGATCTGAGTTTTGGGAGGAGAAGGGGATTTGTCTCCTCTACTCTTCTCCTCCTGTCGTGCATCTGCCGTCTCTTTCCACAGCTGCTGAAGCTCAGCAGGGATCAAGCCTGTGAGTGAGACATTGCCTTCATTAGATCACTAGAAAACTAATAAGACCTCTATATCTATGATTCCATTTTTCCATTCAATCACCCATTAACCTCTGAAACCAATGTGACTACTGTATTTCAAATAATCTCTGCTGCTCAAGAAACATTGAATAATCTCAACATTGAGAACAGTTGTGCTATATTTTTGTAGAAACCATGATATATTTAAGTATTTAGAAAGTCAAAGTCATATTTCTAATTCATATCTATTTATATAATGGCTTTCACAATACACACAGCTTCACAGTAAGTTATACTGTAGTGTAGGGTAACATTAACCCAAATTTAAAGTCCATTAGTATCATACTGCCATTTCATGTCATGTGGCAGTGAGGGGTAGGGATGCTCATATTAACCGTTTAACTGTTAACCGAAAGTAAAATTTATGACTGATTAATACGATCAGTTTAATTGGTTTTTTATTTGTTTTAAAGTTTTTTTTTTTTTTTTTTTTTTTTTTTTTTAAGTATTTTTTCTTTTAAGTTTGCTGCATGGTGAAAGAAAAGTATGCTATTCATATTTGTTAACCCACGGGTAAAAATCAACCCAGGGCAACAGTTTAAAAGTATCCCAATTCCATGGAAAAAACGCACACTTTGCAACCCTACATCCAACACGAGCTTGACTGATCACAGGTCGAGAGTTAGGAGAGGTGACTGACAGACCATGCTGGAGGATTTGCTGCTCAACCGATCCTGAGCTCATTGACAAATATATGATCTTGTATAGGGCTGGGTATCGATTCAGATATCCCGATTCGATTCGATTCGATTTCGATTCGCACGCTCTCGATTTTTTTTTTTTTTTTTACATTCAGTGAATATAGTTTTAATACAAATGCTATTGTTATTTCTAAAAAATTAACAGTAAACATTAGTTTACAAATAGTGAATTAATAAAAAGAAATTAAGAACCACATGCCTGTATTTTAAACCTATTCTTTTTTTTTGTATAGGGTCCTTTTTAAACAATAGTAGGGCTCTATAAAATGTTCT